CCTTTGCAGCTAACTACTATGCCATCAGCAGCTCACTAGTTATCTCAGATCTCAGGTCCTAAATTCTAAACTCTCCTACCCCTCCCATTGCCACAGCAAGCAAGTGCTGAAAGAAGTGGGGTAGTAGTCAGTAAAGAAAAAGTTATAGTACCACTTAAAATGACTAACAATATTTTATATCATAACAATCATTGGTACACAAGGGGCTGATTTACTAAAGGCAAATAGGCTGTTCACTTTGCAGGGGACGTTTGCCCTTAGTTTAGTGAATGAGGGGAAGTTCGGCTGACATATCACCCAATCATGTTCAAGAAAAAAAATGTTTTTTTTTTAATTTTCCTTGTACATGATTATTCTTTACAAAGTGAAGTTCCACCACATTTACTAAGCTAAGGGAAACTTCCCCTGCAAAGTGCAAATTCCCTTGCAAAGTGAACAGCCTGTTTGCCTTTAGTAAATCAACCCCAATTACTCTGTAGCTCCAATACATACGGCCACATGGTCTTCTATGCCTATGGTTGGGGAAAAAGCTATGGGTTTGGATGGATTTTTCTGCCTGAGATAAAGAGTATTGCTAGGGGTATTGGCTATACACATAGACATACAGGTTAATAAGAAACAAAAGTACATTACTAAGAGGTTAACTGTTGGGAAAAAAATTGCTTTGGAAGACAGATTATTTTTTTTACACTCAACTGCCATCTACTATCTGCTACTTAGTTATTGTGCAGTGAGGGCCATTTCATGTGGGTATTTATGAAGCATGGGTCTTTATTTCATTTAAAGTGGGATGTTTGTGTAAATTTTACAGTTTCACAATTTTGTGTTCTTTGAAACAAACTTTAACAATTACAATTGTAAAGTATGGCTTTAATGCTAGGAATTCCTCATTTAAAGAAGTGGACATGGAACAGCATGGAGCATGTTTTTAATTCTTAAAATGGCAAAAATATGCATAATTCTATTATCTGCATACAAGAGTTGTGTATTCACCAAACCTTTGAAAGCGACCACTGTGTTTTCAGAATTCTGTGCTTTATATAAATAGGTTTTATTGCTGGTAGGGCATTTTTAAAGGTAAATTTTTCATGGAAAGTTTGCATAATCATATTTACTGTTAAACTGTGCCTCAGGTAGCGTAAATAAATTTTCTGATTTGCATAAAGAATCATTTGCTTAAATGGTACATTTGACTAAGCTTTATATTTTCCACATAGAATGCTCCATAAAACCTGTCAATTTATTTCAGTGAAAGTTCTCGGTAATTAATCAAAGATGTTTACAGTGAAACTCCCACACATAGTATCATTTCTGCATATTTGGAGATGAAAGCAGCAGATTAGGCAATGGACTCAACTGATATACCACAAGTTTTTTTGTCATCTTTTTACCCAGGTTTGGAGCACCTCACCCACAATTTGACTATCTGTAAAATGTGTTCTTCTTAAAGTGACACTAAACTCAGGAGTTAAACCTTAAAAATGCATTCCAGTACCTTAACTATTAACAAACATGTATCTTATTTGTGTATCATTTGGCTGTAGATCCTTAAATCATCTCTGAATTGGTGCTGACACTGTTTTTCCTTCTGGAGGGTGGCTACTTTTGTTCCCCATGGTCCCTGTGTGTGTTGGAAAGTAGCCACTGCTCCAAGCTTGCTCCGGTGATGGACTACAATCTCATGTTTATTTTATTGATTGGTTACTTTACAACAAACCCAGGGACCATGGGTAAGAAAAGTAGCCTTCTCCAGAAGGAAGGACAGTGCCGGCACCAATTCAGAGATGATTTGAGGATCTATGACTGAGTGATACACAAATAAGTTACATTTTTGTAAATAGTTGAAGGTACATGAGTGTATTTTTAAGATTTAACTCCCGAGTTTAGTGTCACTTTAATGCTGAGAGTCATTTGACTGTTTGATGTCTTTGGGGTCTATTTATAAACTATTTGCAGAGCTGTTGACGTGTCCCACACAGGGCAAAAGACTCTCTCCCCACCCCATGTGACAGCTCTGGGCCAATTACCAAGCATCAGCTTCACATAAGGAGAAGAGGAAAGGAATGAGTAACATGCTCCTCCCTGAATGGAACAATGGAGAATTTAAAACTAACAGGGTTATTCACAAAAGGGTGAAGAGTTTGGAGAAGGCAGGAGAAGTGAACAATCTAGGCCAAAATAGCTGATTTGGAGAAATTCTCCAATTCAGCTCACTTCCCAGTTCAGATGTTTTGACCTAGATTGTTCACTTCTCCTGCCTTCTACAAACTCTTCACCCTTTTGTGAATAACCGTGTAAGAGAGCTTAGAGTATGCTTTTGGGAAAGGGGCCTGTTGCATTGTTCTGTATTGACAATGTACAGTTTTGCCTAATGCACAGATCTTTGAAATTGGCATGATATACATACAAACGTAAAATAGAACTTCAAGAAAACTTTTTAAAAGTTTTTTAAAAAAGTTAAGTGCTCATTTTTGTCTATGTGCTAAAATAACAAAGTTATACTCACCCGAACCTCCGAGCCGGCCATCTGTCACAGCTCTCCCTCCATCCTGCCTCCTCCTCCTCCTCCCTTGCAGCACTGGAATCTTCCTCAGCGTCCTCACGTCCGTACACTTGGGGGGGAATTTATCAAAGCAATTGCGAGTTTTGGAACTTGCATGACATATATTTGCACCAGATTTATGATGCTAGTGTAATGTTGTTCATAATTGAGGTTTAATAGACTCCAGGAAAGAAGACTTTTGGGGGGAATTTATCATAGCAATTGCGCGTGTTTGAACTTGCACGGAATATATTTGCACCAGATTTATGATGCGAGTGTAATGTTGTTGATAAATGAGGTTTATTAGACTCCAGGAAAGAAGACTTGTAACTTCAGGCAAAAAGCTTAACTGTCGCTTCTTGAAGAAGTGGTCATGGGGACTTCTTTTTTTTTTTTGCATGTCAATTTTTATTGTGGCAATAATACATAACAGAGAATAATTGACAATGAGTTACAGTATTTTTTTCTGTCAGTAGAACATAACATTAGCGTTTCTAGTGATAAACCACTAGGCGCAGGCATGGATATCGTCAAGAAAGAACAAAGAATGTTCTAGAACGTAGGTAAAACAGAAATGTCTACCAGTTAATAGCTATAAAGACTATCATCAGTTCTATATTTGTACAGAGCCATATAGTCAAATAGGCAAGTGACCTATGATATGGAAGGGAAAAGTTGTTGGTCGTTGGTAAAGATGTTCAGGGGATAGGAATAGCAATAAAAATTTGTCTCCGTGGACCCAATATGTGTGTGTATGCGTGTGGACATGGAAAGTGTCAAAGGACATCAAAGGACATCAAGTTCACCAAGTGTGTCGGTAAGTTTGGCATTGTGGAACCAAGTGGAATGTTGGAAAATGGACATAACATCACATAATTGCTCTAGGGATAATTCAGAGGTAAAATAGGCAGACCACGTATCAAAAAACATGTTAGTGCGATGCATATTAAATTTCGTATCCAGTTTATCTAGCAACATGAGTATTGATATAGAGGTCGGGGTAGCAGACAGCCAGTCGGTTAATGTGGCTTTTTTGACGCTGAGGATGCAAAGGTGCTCCCATTGGGATAATGGGGGTATTGAGGTAGGTTGCCCGGAGAAGGGCAATGGAATATACAAACATCAGGGGAGGTGTAAGACCATGCCTAGCCGCAGAGATACGACTGCGCATGCGGATAGGCCTGTTCGCCGCATTTGCGGGAAAAGGCGGCTATTGCGCGTGCGCCAACGGCAGCCGGATGAGCGAAATCGCGCTAACATGGCGCACAGGAAATGACTCACTCTGTCTGGGGATGATCCTATTTAAGCCAGCCCAACTCCCAGAATCATTGCTGAGTGGTCTTTCAGCTTTAGTGTGTGTGTTCCTGTGCCTTGCCTGTTGCTGTATTATTGTCTTCCCGGATTCCTTGACCTTGCCTGACTGCTACCTGCCTCTGACTTCTGCTTGCCCCTGGATTCTCCTTTGCCTTCTCCTTTTGTACCTTGCCGCCCGATTGTTGCTGACCCTGGCTTGCCCGACTCCGCTCTGCTCCAGCCGCATCAACACCTGCTTCCTGCTACACTGAAGACGGGCCTCAAGGACCTACCCAGGCCCAGTGTCCTGCATCTTCCGCACCGGTGCTGCCCGCTGTTCCTCCACCTCCTGCCTCCCTATTCAGGGGTGTGGAACTCGTGCTGCAAAGGAGGCTTCCTCACAACTCGGCTCCCCACCAGGTACGTGACAGGAGGGTATTCTGTGGCCTCCAGATTTTAGATTCATGTATGAAACTACATCCGCCCACAAGGTTTGGATATGGGGGCATAACCACATGAGATGTGTTAACTCGGGCAGAGGTGATTGGCATTTTGGGCATGACGTCAACCACCCTGGAGGTCTATGGTTTGAGGTGATATTGAAGCCATAATATGCCCGATGTATCAACTTAAATTGAACCTCCCTCCAAGCTTCACTAACAATGGCACATCTTAATCGTGTCCAACCCGTCATAATAATAGATTGTGTGGTCTCTTGGGGCAACTGCAACAATTCAGCCCATTTTGTTATAGATGAGGGGATCTCCTGGGAGATGACAGACTTGCACATAAAAAAATGATCGAAGAGGCTAAAACTGTCGCAATTGCTTTGATAAATTCCCCCCCCCCCCACTGTGTTTTATACACTTTTTTTTTACCTAGACAAAAAACAGCTGCTAACCCTTGCAGTGCAGGGGTAGCCCCACTGCAAGGGTTAATAAAATGTTTTCCTGGAGTTCTTTTTTAAAATGCAGAGGTGCAGTGCTTTAACCTAGTCAATGTTGAGTATCCAAAACAATTCTTTTTTTCTGAGTAATGCTGCATCTTTTATATTAAACTAACTATGTGTAAATAGTATATTAATATGTAGGATAATGGCTTGGGGCTAAAGAGCAGACTGAGACATGCAGAATACAGTTCGATTCAAGTGAATACTACTGATTCTGAGTACTTATCAGTGGAAAATGAAAGGTTTTGGCACTTAATCATTTAAACCTCTGACACCTTAGTGGATATCTGCTTAGAAGTTACATGGAGTCAGACCTCTTCACGCTGCTTGACACTTGATAATTATTCAGGAGAAATGCTCCCAGAGAGGATTTCATATTGTACTGTATCATTGATCCAGGCAGTGACACACTTAGCAGAGACGGATCTTTTTTTAAATGGTGACTTAAATAATATTAATTAAATATTTATAATAAAAATATCAGATTTTCATAGTAGGCCTCCATTAACATAAAGTGATATCAAAGTCAAAATTTTTACAGTTATTTCAAATGCTGATTAAATTACTTAAAATGGATGCAGTTCCATGTTTAAAATTTTTAGTTTTCTGCAGAATCAGCGGGTCCCCTGAGTACTGGCCCTGATATCCTGTTTTAGGGCTCCTTTCCCTTGTAGGGTCCTATGGAGCAACCCTTGTGTGTGCTAGTATGCTGTGTGTGTGTCTCCACAAACACAGAGGCAGAGCAGGGCAAGCCACTCTTCTGCTCCCTGCTCTCCTTTTCCCTTCTCCAGGCTAGTAGATGGACAGCTGCTGAAGACTGTGTTCTCCCTTGTGATCTTGTACTGGACAGGAAGTTCAGAGAAGTTGAGATGAGAGAGTTGGGGCAGTTGTTCAGAGACATGATGACAGTGTGGGGTCAATTCACTAAGCTGCCGTAGGCAGCCGAGTGAACGACTGACCTGAAACGAAGTGAGCCGAACGCTGTTCGGCTATTCACTTCAGGCTGGTTCGGCTGATTTCAGCCCTATATCGGCTGAAATCAGCCGTACATTGGGTGGCTTCGGGGCGGCTCAGCATGTTCGGCCGACACGAAAGTGCAGAAGGAGTTCAACTCAGCCGATCCAACATCTGGATCGGCTAAGCCGAACCTCCTGCAGGCTACTCGGGCTACTGCTGTTCGGTCTATTCTTATACATGCGGAACAGCAGTGAGAAAATAGCCGAATGCCGCTGAGCAGCAGAACAGAAAAATAGTTTAACCCCTTCATGACTGAGGCCCTTTTTTCCATGAAGGGGTTAAAAAGTACAAAAAATAAATAGAAAAATGATTGTGCGGAGCTAGCAGTAACAGCTAGTTCCGCCCAACTGTTTTCTATTGGCCGGCAGTTCTGCTCCCGTCAAAAAAAAAAAAAATGTTCGCCATAGGAATGCATTGCTAGATACCTATAGGCTATTGCAATTTGCAATAGCAAACTTGCTATTGCACCCGCCCTCTGCTGCTGTCAATCACTAGAGGGGACCTGATGGAGAACTGCAGGTCCCCTCTGCTGATTGACAGCAGCAGTGGGCAGGTGCAATAGCTAGTTTGCTATTGGCTATTGCAAATTGAAATAGCCAATAGGAATATAGCAATGCATTCCTATGGTGAAACATATTTTTTTTTAATTATTATTCTGACAGCAGCCAATGGCTCCATTTCAGAATGAAAAGAAAAAGCAGGGAAAGTTTTACTCTGCTCGATTGAGCAGAGTAAACCTTTCTTGGGAAAAGTGTGTTTCTCTCCTGGGCGGCCGGGAGCGGGAGACTCCCAGAGCGCCCGGGAGAGTTGGGCTGTCTGGAAATCAGTGTCCCTGGTTAGCTGGTAACCAGGGACGCTGATCTCTGTGCAAGTGGCCGGAGCCAGCCGAGAGATGACGGCTGGCTCCGCCCAGCTGTCAGAAGCAGGCTGTCGGCCGGCCATTCGGCCAGCTTCGGCTTTCAGCGCGGCTAGGTCGAGCGTGAAGCATATGCCTTCGGCTCGACTGAGCCGCTCGGCCAACTTCGGGAGCTGTACGGGCTATAGTAAATAGCACAAATAGTGAATAAGCCCGTACAGCAGCCCTTCGGTTCTACTGAACCGAAGGGGTCCTGGGGCCGAAGCTAGCCAAAGGATCAGCCGAAGCTACAGCTAGATCCTTCGGCTGCTTCGTTAATAGACCCCTAAGTGTTTGGACAAAAATGTAAAGAAATTATTTACTGAGCAATGTATATTTGTTTGATTTGGATTCATTACTGAAAAAAGATTGAGTAATATTTTAATGCAATGTAATTAAATGTATTATTTTCTTTCAGGGCCAACAGGAAAATTCTGCCTGGGAAAGCTTACAAGATAGACCAGGATCTGATGTGTGAAAATGTTGGAAAGAGGGGAGCTGATGCCTGTATGTGTGAATCGCACTGCTTACTGTGCAAGCCTGTAAAAACAACTAGAAGAAAGATTCTGGTAAGAACTTACACAAAGTTTCTGATTTCCACAATCTATACTGAGAAGCACCACAGGACCTGCAGAGTCTCCACGTTACTTTTGGCCCAAAACCATAGTACTGGCATAGTATTGGCACTACTGGCCAATAGGATTGTTTGGGAGGGGTTCTTTAATCCTTCTGCTTTACTACTTTATACCACTGTGTAGCTCTCAGCATTTTTTTTAATGACAGAGTTGCAATAAAACCCACTTTTACATTTTTCTTTATCTCTTTAAAGTTCTAAACCCCACAAGTTATTATGCGTGGCTGGTTTTTGCTTTGAAATGCTTCTCCATAGTGCTCTGTACTGGCAGAGCTGAATGATCGCCACACCCCTTTGTACATGCTTCCTCACACAGACTTGCAGGTTAGTGTATGACTGGACATGGTTGCAGGAACATAAGGGATAGGGCACTGCAAGATGGAAAAGGTGCCTGGTGCTAGGGATAGGGCACTGCAAGATGAAAAGGTGCCTGGTGTTCAATTCGTTTAGTTCTGAAAATTCGGACATTCGGATGTATCCGAATTGCATATATAACTAATGCAAACGAATCCGAATTTCCGATTCCGAAATTCATTAGCGGTAGTCTGGACGAAATTTCATTTGTTGGATGAAATTTCGTTGCAGCAAAATGACATAAGACATTTTTTTTTAGTCTGCAGAAGAGGGGAAAAAAAAAAAGCGTGAGGTTCCCCCCCAATTCATACCAAACCCTTTAGGTCTGGTAGGAATGTTAGGAGGGCCCCCCAAGTTAAAATTTAAAAAACGTGCGTGGGGTTCCCCCCAAAATCCTACCAGGCCCTTTAGGTCTGGTAGGAATTTTAAGGGGGAACCCCAGCCCCAAAAAATGTGGGGTCCTCCCCCTAACAGTCCTACCAGACCCTTGATCCGAGCACTGGACTGGCAGGGCAGGAAAGGGGGGGGGGGTGACGATCGAGTGCCCCCCTCTCTGCGCCTTACCAGGCCACGTGCCCTCGGCATTGGGAGGGTGGTTGTGGGGGTCTGCGGGCAAGGGGGGCTTATTTACATCAGGGTACCCCTTTAATTAAGGGGGCACCCAGATGACGCCCCCCCTGTGAATGAGGAAGGGGTACTTGCACCCCTACCCATTCACTAAAGGGTTAAATAAAAGAGTTATTAAAAAGTTCAGACTTTTGATAAAATCCTTTAATTGAAAAAAAAAAACAAAGAGCCAATTTTTGACTATTCCTTTTAAGTAAAAAAAAGTTTAAGAAATGGCTTCATCTATGTAATCCAGCGTCAATCACGTTGCACGACGCCCGCCGACCTGCTGAAATAAAAAAAGTTCCCCCGCACGGTGACCGTCCGAACCCGTCGAAAACTCGCCGCAAAATCACATTCCTGCTCGAAAGTAAACAGATGGGCGGAGCGAGCCGTGATGTCACAGCTCGCTCCGTCCATTTGCCATTCTTAGCTGTAAAATACTACATAGCATTCGGGAACTTCCGAATGCCTCACAGACCCGAATGGCAATCGGGAGTTCACGAATAGCATTCTGGACTTCCCGAATGCTATGTAGTATTTGACAGCTGAGAATGGCAAATAGGCCGAGCGAGCCTTGACGTCACGACTCGCTTCGCCCATCTCTTTACTTTTGAGCAGGAATGTCATTTTGCGGCGAGTTTTCGTCGGGTTCTGACGGTCGTCGTGCAGGGACTTTTTTATTGCGGCGGGTTGACGGGCGTCGTGCATCGTGATTGACGCAGGATTACATCTAGGGAGCCATTTTTTTTTTTTAATTAAAGGAATAGTCAAAGATTGACTTTATCAAAAAACTTTTATCAAAAGTCTGGACTTGTTAATAGCTATTTTATTTAACCCTTTAGTGAATGGGTAGGGGTGCAAGTACCCCTTACTTATTCACAAGGGAGGGAAGCGGCATCTGGGTGCCCCTTAAAGGGGAACCCCAATGCAAATAAGCCCCCTTGCCCGCAGACCCCCACAAACACCAGGTCAGGGTTGGGGGGAAGAGGCCCTTGTTCCCATCGGCATGGGGACACCCTCCCAATGCTGAGAGCACGTGGCCTGGTAAGGCGCAGGGAGGGGTGGGGGGCGCTCGATCCCCCCTTTCCTGCCCTGCCGGGCCAGTGCTCGGATCAAGCGTCTGGTAGGACTGTTAGGGGGGACCCCACGGTTTTCCCCCAATTTTTGGGGGCTGGGGTTCCCCCTTAAAACTCCTATCAGACCTAAAGGGCCTGGTATGGATTTTGGGGGGAACCCCGTCCACTTTTTTGTTTTAACTTGGGGGGTCCCTCCTAACATTCCTACCAGACCTAAAGGGTCTGGTATGAATTGGGGGGGAACCTCACGCTTTTTTTCCCCCTCTTCTGCAGACTGTAAGAAAAAAACACGTTTTTTTTTCTAAAATGTCGAATGCTGAAACGAATGAACGAAATGAAATTTCAACCGGACTAGCGCTAACAAATTTGTCCGAATCCCGAAATGAATTTAATTTCGGACCCAAATCCCGAAAAATTAAATAAAGCAAAATCCAAATCAAAACGAAACAAATTTGTTGCCAGTGCACATGTCTACTAGGTAGTGGATATATCTATTTGTCTGCTTCTGACGTCAGAAATATAATTTCCAATTCTCTTCAGAGAAGTGGGACAGAAAAGTTTACTTAGAATTCCGGTTACACTGTAGGCAGAGTTTACGTTTCAGAATACAATAAGTTTTACTAAAAAAAAAACACATTAAATCCCAACACCATATTCTGTTTTTCAAAAAGTGTAAACTATTTCTAGTTTGCACTCTCACCTAAGTACAATTGTATAAATATAATTTGATTAATACATTAGGGACAGTGGATTAGTACAGTAAGAACTAGATAAACAGTATTCTTTTAAGAATACAATGAATGATAATCCTAATATGTCCTATGCAGGTGCAAACAAATTTGTTTATGTTACATGTATTAACTTCTATTTTTCACCCAGTGTGAATTTGTGGCTGATCAGTTGCCACTTTAGTTGCCATTATTAATTCTTAATAAAAAGGTGATTTAAACTTATATTAATTTATTACTTTTTTGTGTGTCATTTTTGTTTTTTAAATTTATAGAAAAAATGTATTTAAGGGTGTAATTGTACAATATGTCAGTTTAAGGAAAGACTGACCGGCCGGGCATGCACAAAATTAACCCTTGCAGTGGGGCTACCCCAACACTGCAAGGATTAAGTGCTCGCTTTGGTCTAGGGTCTAAAATAAAAATGATATAATCACCTGATCCTCGGTGCCACCTGGCTGCTAAGGTCCTCGCAGCCTCATCTTCCACGGGCCTAAGGACCCATGATGTCATCATCACTATTCACTTGCTTTGGACATGAGGACACTGGAGTGCAAGGGAAGATACATGAGCGGTCACCACCACGGGACCAAGGATTAGGTGAGTATCTTTTTTTTATTTTAGACCCTAGACCAAAATGAGCACTTAACCCTTGCAGTGCGGGGGTAGCCCCATTGCAAGGCTTAAGTTTGTACATGCATGGAGTTCTTCTTTAAGGGGGAAGTGTAAATATACTTAAAGTGACACTAAACTCAGGAGTTAAATCTTAAAAATGCATATCTTAACTGTTAACAAAAATGTATCTTATTTGTGAATCACTCAGCTTTAGATCCTCAAATCATCTGAATTTGTGCCGACATTGTCCTTCCTTCTGGTGGGTGGCTACTTTTGTTCCCCATGGTCCCTGTGTGTGTTGTAAAGTGGCCACCACTGCAAGATCACTCCTGTGTAGGAATATAATTTCATGTATTTGTATTGAGATTGTAGTTTGTCACGGAAGCGAGCTTGGAGCGGTGGCTACTTTACAACACACAGAGAGATCATTGGGAAGAAAAGTAGCCACCCTCCAGAAGGAAGGATAGTGCCCGCACCAATTTAGAGATGATTTGAGGATCTACAGCCAAGTGATACACAAATAAGATAAATTTTTATTAATAGTTCAGGTACTTTAATGCATTTTTGAGATTTAACTCCTGAGTTTAGTGTCACTTTAATTGATGATTATTCTAGCTTTATTGACCGAATAATCAGGATTTTATCAAAGACAGGAAGCAAATATTTTGCATAACTCTCCTTACTGATTCCTCATAGCAGCAAAGAAACATTACAGAAAAGAGAAATAACCAATAGTAGCACACAGCATATTATAAAGTCTGCCCACACTAAGATCCCTCCTCTTGCTTTGAAACAGTCTCCATGAACGGAACAGGTAGAAAATATACAAAGTCAAACTGGAATCAAGGCAAAACTGAACTTGAGAATAACCATCGGAAACACGTTGGAATGTCATACAGCACAGCGAATCGTTAAACTGAAACAAGAGAAACAGCGAAAGCATAACAGCAAACCAAACCACAAACGACTGGGATATAACAATACAGAAGATAAAGTGCAAATAGTAAAATAAAATAAAACAAAACACATGTCAATATATACATATACGTACCAAGAGCAGGGACAAGCAGTAACAGACACGGGTGGGAAAAATATTCTCCTCCTGTCTTTAATAAAATCCCGATTATTCAGTCAATAAAGCTAGAATATCATCAATTTTATGGCAAGACAGAAGGCTTCATATTTTGCAATTTTAACGCTGAAGGAGAGACGTCGCAGGGTGTGCAATCGGTCTGAAGTATAAAGTCCGAAAGGTATTATTCTCTGGACCAATGCGCTGACCATATGAGGTCCATGAGTGAACCACCAAAGGAATAAGCTCAAGAGGCTGTGGCACCCTGGATCGAATGAGCGCCAAAAGAAGGGTCCACATTGGCAAAAGAGATCAGCCAACGCACCCACCAAGTCAGAGTAGGTGCCGACACAGGAAGAAAAGAAGGAACAAAAGCAATTAGCAGTTGATGCTTGTTAGGGCGATGCGAAGCAGCCAGCCTGTGCAGATAAATTGGAAGACAAACGGACGACACATAAGGACGGTTTCCGCTGTAAAGCAG